CGAATGTGGGCCGCCCCCATCGAGAGGAGGCCGGGCGCGGCGAACGGCTCGTCTCGAATATCTGCAGGGATCCCCACCAGGTCTCGCTCACTCGTCAAGCTCTCCAATCGGAAGAAAGAACGATGGAAGCAACTGAACAACTCGCGACGATGACTGAAAGGGTGAACTTAATTCGCCAGGAGCATTCAGAACATCTCTTTTGCAATCCTTTTGCTCTCCAAAATGTCAAGCGTCAACGAAGCGAAGATCCGCCTCTTGAGAAGCGGACTGCCGACCTCCCCCGGTCGGTATCTCACCACGGGGCCCCAGGCCACAAAGCTGGGCTGTTCCACGACGTCCTTCTCCACCGAGCGGGGCAGCCCAGCAGCCTCCCAGGCATGCTTGGCCCGCTCGTTGGTCTCGCCGTCGCGGAGCCGCTTGCCCCGCTCGCTGTCCGAGAACGCCTGCACCGTCAAGTGGTCGTCGAGGTAGTTGCCCTCCCACGTTCTACCCACTGGCACGGTGAGCTGTGCGCGCAGCGACTTGGACGGGGTCACGCACCTGCCCTTCCTGAGGATGCTCACGTTCGTCCCCTGACAGATGTCACACGAGTTGGCGTCGCCCATGCCCCAGACGGCGAGCGCCGCGCAGTAGTGGGCGTCGGGGTCTGCGGCCTGCCTGCCACGCTGGCGGCCGAGCCAGGGTCGCCCCACCACGCTCCGCGCCTCCGCGCCCTGAGGCCTCTTCACCTGGTAGAAGTAGGTCTTCAAATCGTAGACGGCGCCCCTGACGCGCTCGGACGACGAGCTCACCCGACGGTTGTTAAGAGCCTGTTAAGCGGGGGTGAAGGGCCCGTCAGGGTGGTTCAAGGGTTCTGAACCACTGTGAAATCGATTTTCAAAGGGATCTGAACATGTGATGCGTGCCGCATTTTGGCCCACGCCGGTTTCCTGTTCGACTTTCACGGCGCGGGGGCAGGGTAAACTTTTCGCCAACAGGGAAAACCGATCGGCCGAAGCTGAAAACGCCCCCTGCGCTCGGGAACCACGGCAAAACACGCCTGCGAAAAACAACTACTTGCCCACCGAAGAATGGCGAAATCCAACCAATCGGCCAAATCTTCGCGCGCAGAACAGAAATTGACACACATAAGCGACATTCACTTGAGCGAGGATACACGTTCCGACGGGCAACCCGCAGCCGCCAACGCAACAGTTTTCGCGTCTCGACCGCGCCCTAAACGAAAAAAATAACAAATGATAGCGCCCCAAGGAACATGCGGCGCTCGTAACAATGCACACAGCACGGGCTCACGCAAAATTGAAACGACTTTGCAAAAACAACGAATCCGATACGGGGGGGTGGGGTAGTGAAATGCAACGTTGCCCGGTCCCCTTTTCCCATATGTTTCCCTCCGTTGCTTCGTGGTCGACGTTCCTGCGTTCCCACTCGTGTTTTCCCCTCACTTGCACCCACCCTCCTCGTTGCGTTCTTCCAATTCGTTCGTGCTTGCCTGCTTGCTGATGCTTGCTCTGCCGCTCTGCGTCGCTAAGCCCCGCATACGGGGACGAAGTGCCTCAGAGGCAGCATCAGAGCACGGGCTGGGCCCGCAGGAGGGGGGAGCAGCAGGGAGGAGCAGCAGCAGGAGCAGGAGGTGGGAGGAGCAGCGGAGCAGCGGGCACGCAGGAAGGAGGAGGAGCAGGGAGGAGCAGCAGCAGGAGCAGGAGGAGGCATGTGATCTCTGTGGCAGTCCAGAACATACATAGAGGAATGCATACGCGGGCGTGGCCCTGACATGGAAGCCGCGGGCGTCATCTGCCTTATTCGCAATTATATGTAAGGGGCGAGGAGAAGTTACACCACCACGCCGCCGTCAGCGCCCCTCAAACGGGGACTCCACTAACGGGTACTTTGGCCAGTGACCCAGCGAACCCAACCCTTCCCGATGTGGGCAAAGCTGCAATGCAAGAAAATTCAAAGTGGCAACTTTCGGCAAAGCTGCAATGCAAAGGCCCTAAAGTGGCAACTTTCGGCAAAAATTCAAAGTACCCGTTAGTAAGTACCCGTTACGGTGCCGTTGACACCGCCGCCAGGGCGAGAAGCGGGGGGGGGGTACATCTGGCGGCGCGGTCCACCATGGGGAAGCATCGTGGACCTCCTCGCTGGAGGGGGGGGGCCCTCTTGGCGGTGGTGTCGCTCGTCCTCCCCCCGATCCTCATCGCCCAAATCCTCTGCAGCGTGGCGCCCAGCAGAGATGGCGTCCGCATCCGGCCACGACCCCAACACGAGCATCCGACCCCATTGGAGTCGGTGGCCTGGCATGTGCTTGGGGGTCGTGGCCGGCGCGGAGACGTCGCTGGATTCGTCCCAGTAGATCCCCCCCTCCCAACGCCACATCGGGCAGGAAGTGGAACCGATGTACGCCCGCCCTCCTGGCCCAGAAGCGGCGCGGCGAACTGCGGCGCCGACGCGCCGCTGCAGCTCAGCCCGCGATATATTAACGAGGAGGTCGCTCAAGAGCGGGGATCCGCCATATATTGAAATCTCACGGTATTTCTCAGCAGAACGGCGCATCACATCCAACGCATCCTCCAGCGCCGATTCCCACTCCAGGGCGAGACGGTCGGGGCCACCACTGGGGCTGTCTGAACCACTGCCGTCGCCATCATCAACTCGGCGGCCAAGCATCCCTGCTGCCAGCCAAGGCCGGCGTGGCCTCTGGGAGGACTGGGAGGCGACAGGCACCGCCAGCGTTGGCACTGAATCGGCGAGTGATCGCACCGTCCGCGCTGGCACTGGATTCGCAGGTGATCCCACCGCCAGCGACGGCACTGCCTGCGGGGCTACATGCCTCGCGGGGCTCGCATCGCCGACTCCTGCTCCTCTCTTGCGCCTGCGACTCCTGCTCCTGTTCCTCCCGCCAGCCGCCAGAGCAGATGACCTGCAGATAGCGCCGCTGGCTGAACCCGTCGCTGACCTCGCGCGACCGCGGCTGTCGGCGTCGACGGGCTCGGCGAGAGCAGCGTCGACGGCAAGCCCATGCCTTGCAGCGCCCTCGGGCTCAGCGACACCAGGGGCAACGGCGCAATCGCGGCTGCCAGCGCCGACGGCGCGTCCACGGCTTGCAGCGCTGACGAGCTCAACGGCGCCAGGATCAACGGCACAATCGTGGCCATCAGCACCGACGGCACGTCCGCGGCTTGCAGCATCGACAGGCTCGGCGACACCATCGGCGGCACACTCGTGGCTTGCAGCATCGATGGCGCGTCCGCGGCATGCAGCCTCAACAGGCTCTGGGGCAACATGGGCGGCATAATCGCGGCGCGGAGCATCGACGGCGCGCCCGTGGCATTCAACATCGACGGCGCGAGGGCGCGCTGGGTAGACGTCGGCGCCCAGCTCAGCCATGATGTCCAAGAAACCGACCCGTCGCTGGCGGAACGGGCTGCCGCCCACGAGATGATCAGCGAGAGCTTCTGGGCGCCCCCACGGGGCGTCACCAGACATGGCGACGCAACGGATAAGCTAATCCAAACCGAAACTTGAGCCAAAACGGCTACGGACGGAGACGGGAAACGGGAAAGAGGCAAGGATGCGAGGGTAAAGGAATATGCGTGCTTTCGCTCGCTGCAACCAGCAACTGAACCGTCGTCGCCGAGCCCGCGCGGAGTGGGGCCCCTACTCCCAGGCGATGTTGCCCTTGTCCTTGCCCTTCCCCCCCTCCCCCCCACCCCCTCCTGGCCCTCATCGCCCTCGCACGTTGCCTTGCCGCTTGTCTCCGTGCATTTCAGCCCCGCGCTGCGAATCATCTCTGCCCTCTCCGCCTTCCTCGCGAGATGCCGAGACCTCGCGGTGACTCTCCTCCCAGGCCTACGCATCCACACCACCAGGTCCTGGGAGGTGGAGGGGGGGCGCGAGACGAGGGCGAGAGGAGGAGGGGGGAAGAGGGGGGAGGGGGATGAGGAGTAGGGAAAAGGAGTGCGAGGAGGAGGAAGGAAGAGGGGACCGGGGAAGGAGGAGGACGGAGGAGGTAAGAGGTAAGTCCTGTGCGCGGCTCTGCCGCGTCCACGTCGTTTTCCCACAGGTTGTGTCTCTCGCCCTCCTCGCGCCTCCTCTCCTTCCCCCTCTCCTTCGCCGCCGCACTGAGCGGCATCCCCAGCCAACCCGACTGCGGACAGCGGCGTCGACGGTCGACGTCGCCGACGTCGTCGCCGTCGCCGTCGTCGCCGCCGTCGTCGTCGTCGTCGTAGTGGGGCTTCTTATCGGGGCACCCTGAGGGCGGCCCCGTGGGGGCCCCCTCGCCACGGCCGGGCGCAGTGCGAAAAACTTGTGCGCTTGGACCCCGGGAGGGGTCCGCGGATCCGCCCCGAGCGGATTGCGGAGGACATGGTCGCCGCCAGCATCGCTCCGAGTCGCAGCAGCAGGGTTCCGCGCACTCCTCCTCGTCGTACTCCTCGTCGCACTCCTCCTCGTATTTCGTGCTCCTCGTCGTGCTCTTCGTCGTACTCCTCGTCGCACTCCTCGTCGTACTCCTCCTCGTACTCCTCCTCGTTCTCGTCGCACTCTTCGGCGTCATCCTCGTCGCGCTGTCGCGCTCCTCCTCGCACCCCTCCTCCTTCTCATCTGCGGGCAGCCTCGGAGGGGCACGGGCGCCCCCTTTTCCCTTCCTCATGCTCTCCGCGCTGGGCCCGAGTGCGTCTCGCCCAGGCGTCCAGGGTGGCCGGGCCCAGCCGCCGCGGCGCCTCGCTTGGCCCCGTCGCCATGGAGCGGCGCAGCCCCGCTCTCGGCCGCCGAGCAAGCAGCGGACGGGAAGGGGGCCTATAATGCTCGTTGTGGGAGGTCGGGCAGCCCCGCTGCCAAACCGAATTATCTATCAGTCCAGCTACCCCGAGTAGGAGAGGAGGGCGGATGGGACTGATGTGCAATGAGAATGGGTTCATCATTCATAAGAGCACGAAGGCGGGGCAGGGTTGGAGCGGGGCGCACGTCGGCGGCCTGCCCGCGCACTGTAAACCGCGGGCCTAGGCCCTCGGGGGCTGAAAGAAGTTCTGAATCCTAGACTGCTTCGGCTTCGGATGGCCAGGAGTGGATAGCGGGCACCTACCGCAAACGCAGTGATCGCGGCAGTCGGTGCTCGTGCGGGCCCTCTTCGCGGTCGGCTGGACATCGCTCACGTCGAACCTGGTCGACGGGCCCTCGCTCACTTGGAACCCCTGGGGCAGCATGACTGGGAGGCCCCCCTGGTTCACTTCGCACCTCTTGCATACCCGCATGATTGGGGTCAACGCCCTGCCCACCGTGCCGACCGCCATGGTGTTCCCCACGGCTTTCATCAAGGCCTTATCAGTGATCACCCCCACGAGGCTCTCAGGAGCTAGGCCCATGATCCTGCACCGCTCGGATAGCCTGAGCCAACGCCCATGGCCCTCCACTTTGCCATCTAAACGGCCCACGACCCACAAGTAGGTGTTCTTAGTGGTGAGGGCCCCGCAGGACTCTGGATACAAAAACCTCCCGAACACTTTGGTAGGATCTCGCGTCAAATCGCAAACGGCCACGGCGCCCGCGGCCTCGCCCCGAGCCTTCTGCATGTCGAGGTACAGCTTGTTGTACACCTTTTGCGGGAGGGGGAAGGGCGCAGAGGGATAGGGGGCAGGTCGGGAGAGGGCGGTTGAGATAGGCGAGAAAGGCAGGGGCTGGTGGGCAGGGGTAGTGACAGGATGGGGAGGGCCACGAGGAAGGCAAGGGGCAAGGGTAAGATGTGGACTCTCCTCCTCCTCCTCGTCCTCCTCAGCCTTCCTCCCGCCTCTACCGCACCCCCCTGCCCCTTGCCCGGCGCCGCGTCACCCTGGCCGCCGCCAGGCGGCGTGCCTGCTGAACTTGGAGGCCCTCTTATCCGCAATTGCGGGTGCTACATATTCTGCTCAGGAGCGACGGCACTTCCTGCCCCCTCATCCTCCTCCCCCCCCCCCTCCTCCTCCTCCTCCTCCTCCTCCTCCTCCTCCTCCTCCTCCTCCTCCCCCTCCTCCTCCTCCCCTCTTCCTCCCCCCCTCATCCCGTCCACCCCTCTGCTCTCACCTCCCCTGTCCATCAGGGACGTTGGCATGCCAATACGAACATAGGTTGCGCCCCAATGGTTCGCGCAGAGAGCTCGTCAAGTGCACCTCAGCGTCGTGGCTCGCGCAATTCCAGGCCACCCCTCTTACTGCCCGTCCTATTCCCCCCGTCACTCCTCCCTTACTTTCTCCCTGACCCCCTGCCTCGTCCTTTCACTCCTCCTGCTCCTCCCACCCCGCCCTCTAAGGGTCCCACGCCACCTCCCCCCCAGCCCGCGCCCCCCCACGACCCCGTGCTCATTCCTCACTTCCACGCCCGGCCTCCACGTTCAGGCGGGCGCCAGGAGCAGCGGGGAGCGGCGACTCGGAGGGGCCCTCGGCGTCGAGGAACTCAGAAAGCTTCACAGGGGCCATGGGAGGCAAGGGGGCAGGGAAGCCGCAGCCAGCGCCGAGTAGCAGATGCTTGCTCATCCCGATGATGTAGATTCTCTGCCGCTTGGCCGGGAGGCCGCTCTCCGTGGAGTCCACCTTGTGCCGGGAGACGCGGAAGTCCTGCGGCATCGAGGCGCGAGCGGAGGCAGGGGGCAGGGGGTGGAGGACACGGAGGGAGGGGAAGGGGGCGGCGGGGGGAGGAGGGAGGAGGAGACGGATGAGACGGAGAATATGGAAAGGGGGCGGGGGCCAGGGGAGGGCGAGCGGGAGGCGGGGAGACGAGGGGGAGGGGGAAAGCGGGCGGGGGGAGTGGGGGGGCGGGCGGGAGGCGGTCCGGCATGTGGGCTTTGAACCACGGCATCAATTCGGCCTCTACATTTGGGGGGGCCTCCTTCCGCTTGTATGCTATGCCGGCAACGTTCTCGAGACAGAACCACATCAAGCCATTACGGTAGAGCCACTCAAGAACCTCCAGCATCTTACGGCACACCTGGCAACGAAGCCAGCACGATGCAAGCGAATCAGAGGGGAGGGCATGGGCAGGTAGAGCAGGTAGCAGGTGTCTTACCGTCTTACCCACCCCCGTCGACCTTCGCACGCCAGTCATCCATGCCCCTCCCCGAGCCCAACAGAGACCATGGAGGGCAAGGAAAGCCGCAGACCATGCCCGTGGTCGCGACGAACTGCTCGCCGTTCGGCATCCAAGCGACGTCGTCCGCGTCGATCGTGATCCCGAGCACGTCCCCGATGCCCTGGGCAAGCGGGGAGGCGAGGATGCAAAGGAGGCTGAGGCAGAGGAGGGAGGCCGACGAACAACGACGACGCCAACGACGACGATGACGACGACATTGACGACGCTGACGACGCGGACGAAGACGACGACGACGGCGACGAAGACGACGACGACGCTAACGACGACGACGACGACGACGACGACGACGACGACGACGACGACGACGACGACGGGGAGGACGAAGTCTAGGATCGAGGGTCGAGGATCGAGGATCGAGGATCGAGGGTCGAGGGTCGAGGATCGAGGATCGAGGGTCGAGGGTCGAGGATCGAATATCGAAGTGGCGCAGTGTTGTTTCATGCAATTGCGTGGCTTATGGGGGCGCCCTCGCGGCTGGATCCGATTTGAAATTCTGTCGGCCAGAACTCGCTCCAGGACAGGTCGGGGGTTCGACGCGCAAACATCAATGGCCGAGCGTTCACTGTTTGGGGGGGGGGGGGCCCTGCGAGAGCGAAGCCTTCACGCTGAAGCCCCTGATTACTAGGAAAGGAGGCCCATGGCGTTTTTCCTGCTGAAGGAAGTGGGCGATAGTAACGTCGAACGTGGCGCTGCGTTTGACGCAACACGCGGAGCTGAAGCAAAGGCTAATGTATCACCACTGCGCCCCGTGTAGCCTCGAGCTGAACCAGACACGGAAGTCCCGTGGACAGAATGTCGCAAACATGTGCCCGAGCTCCCGGGCCACTGAGGCGCTGGCCAGATATCCGAGGGCACGGGGCACGGGGAGACGACCTAAACATTACGAAGCATGATGCAAGCACTGAAATTCAATTCGCATTCACGATGACCCCATTCGAATTCGGATTCACGTGGCACCACCGCCTGGGCATCAGCGCCCGCAGGTGGGGAAGCAACAGGACAATGCTGACTGAACTGCTGCAGACCTAGCGACCATCTCCCACCTCCTGCCTCCCTCCTCCCTCCCCTGCCCGAGGAGTCCGAGCACGCACCTGGGGGCCCTGCCCCAACGAGCCAACGAGGCCCCGAATCATAGACTCAAGCGAACTTGGCCCCCAATGTCTTGGCCCAGTCGTCGTACACCGTGCCTTTCAGGGCGTCATGCGCCTCCAGCACGGACGCGACCATGACCTGCGTCCGCTGGGTGCCCCCCTCGGGAGAGAGCCCCCAGCGGTATCCACACGAGACGTCCTTGTGGTAGATTAGGAACTGGTAGCCCGCAGGTAGCATGGCCATCATGTTCGACTTCAGCTCCACCGCAAAGTTGCCGTCCTAGCAGGCGCCGGCCCCCCCCCCCGCCCCCCGCGGCAGGGAAGAAGGGAAGAAGGGGGGAAGAGAGGAAGGGAGGAAGTGCGGAAGCGAGGAAGGGAGGAAGGGGGGAAAGGAGGACGGGAGGACGTGAGGAAGTGAGGAAGGGAGGAAGGGGGGAAGTGAGGAAGTGAGAAAGGGAGGAACGGGAGGCAGGGAGGAAGGAAGGGAGGAAGGGAGGAAGGGAGGAAGAGAGGAAGGGGGGAAGGGAGGAAGGGAGGAAGGGAGGAAGGGAGGAAGTGAGGAGGGGAGGAGGAGGAGGAGGAGGAGGCGACGGTGTGGCCAGCGCACGTCGTCGCCGTCGTTATCGTAATCGCATGCGTCGTAGTCGTGGTCGCGGTCGTAGCCGTCGTCGTCGTTATCGTACTTGTAGTCGTCGTCGTTTACGCCGCCGTCGGACGAGGTCGTCGTCTTCGTCGTCGTCGTCGTTGGTTCCTTCGCAAACTCGGAGAGCAGCTCCTGCGCGCTCATCTCCTTCAGGCTGTTCATCTGCTCGACCAGGCCCACGGTCGCGGAGGCGCGAACCGCGATGATCAGCTCCGAGCCCTCGATGACGACGCGGCACTCGGAGACTCCGAACGGGGCGGGGCTGCACGCGATGTGGCCGGCAGGTGCCACGAAGAGCTGGACGCCGTAAACGGACTTCTGGAGGCCCTGTTCCTTCGGCGTCTTGGGGAGGAAGAGCTGGCGGAAGAGGAGCCCATCTGGGCGGAGCAAGCCGCAGTGGTGTCGCATCGCGGCCGTGATGGCAGGCGAAGTCACGCTCCCGTACGCGGGCTCTGCCAAAGAGTCCTTCACCTTGCGCTGCGTCCACTTCTCGAGCGTGTCGTAGCCAGGGGCGCTGGACATTGCATCGACCATCTCCTTGCAGGTGACCGCGACTGCCTTCCCCTCACCCGCGTTCTCGAAGGAAGCCAGGACGTTGCGGGGGCTCGCAGACACCTCCGCCTTGACCACCTCGAGGGAGCGGACGAGCTCCTCCTGCCGGGCATCTGCTTTCTGTGCTCCATCTCCTCCGCCCTGGCCGCTCTGCAACTTTCGCTTCTTCTGCTGCTTGCTAGCATCGAGCTTCGACAGCGCGGCCTTCATCTCGACCAGGGCCCGCCTGTGGACGGCGAGGTGGCAGTCCGCGGCCTTCGCGTGCTTGTCGTTGATCTTCTTGAGGCTCTCCTTCAAGGCATCCTTATTGAAGTCCCACTCCTTCGCGCTCACGTCCGCGGTCACGATGTCGATATCCTCCTGCACAGCCTTGACCTCTGTCGGCGCTTTGTCTACTGCAGCGCGCAGCTTGTCATAAAGGCCCTTCCACGGCTCCGCCTCTTGATCCTGCTCAGAAAGCTTCTCTTTGAAAAAGCCCTCGATGGACTGCGACTCCTGCACCGCAGCGTTCAAGCTTTCCGTGAGTCTGCGCCCCTGTGCCTCGACGCTCTTAAGCGCCGCGTTCCTCTTGGACACGGCTGCGACTGAATTCGGGTCAGTTATCTTCTTGTCATCCTGGAGGCACTGCGCGGCCTCGATGTCCTCGGCCAAGACCATAGCATTGAACTCCTTCTGCTTCGCGCCCATCTCGGCCAAGGCGTCCATGTCCACGACTGTGGCCAGAATCGCCGATTGCGCGGTCTGCGGCCCCTCCTCCATCCAGTCCTCCGTGTCGCGGCGCCCGGGGGCGACGCCCTCCGCCCAGTGCACGAAGTCGGGGTTCATGTTCGCGTCAGCGATGTCGGCCGTTCTCACGCCCGATCCCGAAGCGCTGATCTCTGCCTCGGCGGTGTCCATGTCGTTGCTCAGCTGGTCCATGAAGGCGCTCAAGTCGGAGGCGTCGGTGACCTCGCCAGCCCTCTGGGCCACCCTGCCAACGAGGCCCTCGGAACGCACGTGGTCCTCGAAGTGCCCCTGGTACTCGCCAACCAGGACGCCGCCTTCTCGGGTGGGATCGCGCTTGCACTTCCACTCCCCCGTGACGACCCTCCTGCGCCACTCCTGAAGTTTGGCCTCCTTGGTCTGGAACCCCTCCAAGAACAAAGTGCGGCACGCCACGTGGAAGGGCATCCAGTGGATGCGATCCCTG